TCGTCCTCCTCCTAAGCATCCCCAAGCCCGTTATGCACATCACAGAAACCGTGATGCACATCACAATTGTGAGCGCTTATTAGTGGGAACACCTGTTTGTGACCCACCGCTGGCTGGGTCTATGACAACATAAAAGAGCGTGAGAGAGAGAGGAAGAAAACGAGACCCCTGGAAAAGCTAGGAAGATATGGGGAAGTATGGAAGTGGGGGGGAATGCGAAAACCCCGAACATGAAGGAAACGATTGGGAATCCTGGGATTTGTGTCTACTTATGTGCGTGCCCCTGGGCCCCTCTAATGATTCATAATCGTCAAAAGCATCCCCAGCCCCCGTTAGTTTCAGATTGGCATGACAAAGGCAGCATTCACTTTACATTGCGTAATCCAGTTCTGCTTCTGCTTGCTCTGTAGCCCAAGTATGCCATTCCCCATACTATGCCAGGTGATGATCGCCGCTGGCACGACAGCATTACTCTCTCACATCGGCACCCATTCGACGCGGAGGCGACCATACGACCATGGCCAGTACATACACGATTGAAATCACATCTGACATCGTACCCCCACGCACTTGAGGGCGTGCGAAGATGCCCCTGGGCTGCTTGGTGGAGTTTCTGAAGCTTCCAAGCGGCGGCTCTAGGCCCCGTGGCGCTGCGCTGTGAGAGTTCGCCCTGCCTCCCCGGCTGCCAGACCAGCCAACAAACATTCAAGACGAACCATCAAAGTCAAACATCGGGACGATAAAAAACTGGAACCATCTCGAAACTGCGCTGCCTGGACTTGCCGCGAGCAGCCGGAAATCTCCCAGCACGGCCCCGGACTCCAAGCTTCCACTTCAGCGACAACACCCGAGACGCTCGTCTTTGCATTGTATCTCCGATGCTCTTGGTCTCACGCCAAGAGCCGCCACCGTGCCTCTGACGCGAAATGGAGGGCCTCAATGCTCATGCAGCACTGAGAGGTAAACGCTGTGCTGCTCTGCTGCAGCGGGAAGTGTAAGTCTTTACGGGCCCGCACCTGTCGTTTCCCAGGCATTACGGGCCCAGACTGTAAGTTCTGAGGTGTTTCCTGCACCTCCTGTGGACGCTGTGCCCCCCCCCCAAAAAAAAAACGATCTCCCGAACGCTCCCATGAATCCAAGAGGGCCCCGAGTCGCCGAACGACCGCTCCAAGGCGCCCAAGATGGCCTCAAGATGGCCCACGAGGCCTCCAAGACGCCACGAGAGGCCTCCAAGAGGCCTCCCAAGATTGCCCAAACAGGCACAAATCATTGACTTCCCTCAGGTGTTTGGAGGAGTTTGGCGTTCTCGCAGTTTCGGCATTCTGACGCACCAAGACGGCCCAAGAGACTTCCAAGAGGGCACCAAGACGGCGTAAGAGCGCCCCAAGACGGCACAAGGGGCGCCCAAGACGGCCGAAGAGGGCCCCAAGACGGCCCCCAAACGGGCCCAAGACAGGGAACACGAACCGAAAGTCCAAGCCTTCCGCCTCAAGAAGTCCCCAGGAGGCCTGAAGAGGCCCCCAAGCGCAAGAGGCCCCCAAGAGGCTCCCAAGAGGTCCCAAGGGGCCCCAAAACAGCCCCCAAGAGGCCTCAAGACTGCCTCCAAGAGGCCCCCGAAGAGGCCCCCTCCCAACGAATATCAAAGAAGCTTTATACCCACAACTCAGCCACGGTACACCCACAACCCAGGCACGGTGGCAGGATGGGCCGAAAGCCATTTGACAAAGATACGTCCGCCAAGTTCATTCCCCGTCCGCCTGGCCCCCTACGCTGTCATGCCAGGTCAAGACTGAGCACCAAGGGCGCTGCACAGCCACACCTAGCATCGCCCAAAATGCCCTGGCTCTACGGTTCACGCGCAGGCCGGGAATCGAACCTCTCCGGCTAGCACGCCTGTAACACTGAGTACACCTCGGAGCAACATACATAGGTCAGGATGCCAGGACAGCAGACTGAGATACGATCGCAAGCTGTGAGAAAGGCAACGTGCCTGTTCCGAGCGGGAAGCAAGTCTAGCGTGCGAGACGCGTGCCGAGGTCGCTTGAGCCTGAAAAGCCACGGCGTAGCGTGCCAGCCCTGCAGAGAAAGGAGGATGTGAAAGACGGGAGGAAGAAATGCAGCCACGAAGTGTCTTGTCAGGACGACCGGCTTCATGTCCGCTGTGCGACTCGCGCAGCAATGGGTGCGCGCGCCGAACCCGACCTGACAAAAGAATAGAATACGCTCACTACAAACCTCAACACGCGAGTGCCTCCTGACGCGAGTGCCTCCTGAACCCCCCAGTGTCTTGTTTTCCCCTGAGTACTTTTTCCCCCTCCCCTTTCCCATCCTTCTTCCACTCCTCCTGTAGAGCTGTTGCAAGCAGCTCGGGCGGTATAAGTATAGCCAGACAAAAAGAAATGAAGCCAAGTGAGCAGAACAAAATCGCCGGCTTGTCTCGAACAGTGGAGTAACGGGAGCCACAATACGACGTTCCAAGAAGCTCCTTGTCGCAACCCCCTGTCCAGACTCGCTGGTGAAGTCCTCAATTCTGGCCGCCAGAACTTCTGACTGGACACGGGCCACCGTGAGCTCTGGTCGAGGGGCAAAAATTGCGCTCGAGGTTCAGGGACGGAAGTGAGGCAGAGGAGTGGCATACCAACAGCCGGCATCTTGTCGCGCTGCTGTCTGCGCAGATGGCGCTCTGCGAAGACGACTCTCTGGCAGCACCTCGGACTACAGGGAGCTGGTTCGAGTGAAAGCGGCCGCGTTTTGAAAAAAGCCTAGCTCCCTCTTCCTCCTGATCCTCCTGCTCCTCCTCCCTCCCTCCCTCCCTCCCTCCCTGCTCCTCCTCCCCCGCCTCCTCGTCTCTTCTCCTCCCCCTCCTCCTCGTCTCTGCTCCTCCCCCTGGCCCACCCCCCTGCCTCTCCTCCCCCCCTCCTCCCCCTCCTCCTCCTCCTCCTCATCCTCCTCCTCCTCCTCCTCCTCCTCCTCCTCCTCCTGCTCCTCCTCCTCCTCCTCCTCTTCCTCCTCCTCCTCGGCCTCCGTCGTACCCCCTCCTCCTCCTCCTCCTCCTCCTCCTCCTCCTCCTCCTCCTTCTCCTCCTCCTCCTCATCCTTTTCCTGGACGTCATCTTGGCCAGCATGTGATCTGCCCCCGCCGTGGCAGATGCGCGCCTGCAAGCGCAGACCTCGCTGCGACAGGGGCCTCGGGAGGTCGCCCCCGGAGGCCTCCGCGGGCTCCCCCGAACATGGAGGGGACCAGCGACCACCCAACTGGCCCAGCGAAGCACCACAATAGCGGTCACGATCGCCACCTACGTTTCCGCGTTCAGTCTTGATCGCAGTCTTAGGTCGGGCATGTCCTCCTCCAGGCGGATTTCTGATGCAAATGAAACATATTCAAAGCTATTCAACAGCTGTCAAAAACGTGCCCATAGTCGGCTTCGGGGGGCAGGGGAGGAGGCCACGGCCACGCGCACCTCGGCGTGTCTGTTGACGGGGACCGTGGCCGCCTGTACCAGAGATGGGCTCGGCACCGAGGCGAGGGGACGGCTCGTGGACAACCTGCGAGGAAGTCTCGGGCGAAGCGGCCGCTGGACTGTGCGGTCCAGGGCTCCCCCGCCCCCCCCTGCTCGGGAGACTCTCCATGGGATCCCCAGGGGATCCTATGGGATCCCCTGGGGTCCTATCCCCCCATGGGATCCCCCCCCCATGAACAGTCTCCCGACCTGCGCCCTCGCGCAGCTTCGCCCCGTTCCCGCTCGCATGCGCGGCGCGCACCGGTACCGAAGCTCGCTCTCCTGGAGCTCCCGGTACGGGGGGCACGTCGTGCTCCCTCCGGGCTCCGCTTCGCTCTCTCTCCTCGTCTCCGTGCTCTCTTTTGCCTCAGCCTGGGTGCGAGGGCGGTCCAGGGCTCCCCCTTGTGGGACTCTCCTGTCGTCCTGTCGTCCTCCCCTGCCCGTGCCAGGGCCCTCTAATTACCGAAGCGCTGCTCGAACAAAAGCTGCCGCCGGTCCTGGAGCAGGAGGGCGCACGCGGCGCACGTGGCGCCCCCTCCGTCTGCCAGGGCACGCGGGGGTGCCCGGGAGGTCTGCGCGAGGTCCCGCAGGGCCGCGGCCGCGGGGCCACCGCGGGGCACCGCGTGGGGCGCGCGATCTGCTGGCGGCACGACAGGAAGGGGCCCCGGGAAACACGAATAAATACACACAATTAAAAAGGATTCCCCATATTTTCCCATGTTTTCTGGGTTTATGTCTTCCCCCCAATCCCCTTATTTTCCGCTACTTTCTTGGGAATCGACGATTCATTGTGTCTGCGTTTTTTCCCCTCCTGACGACAGGAGGCCGCGAGCGGTCCGGCGGGGGAGGGAAAAGCGCAGTCCTGCTCGGAGTCTGGCCAGCAGGGGTCCCGGGGAAGCCGCCCCATGCACGGACGTGTGGAATAGAGAGAGCTTTGCAGAAGGAGGAGGGAGGAAAGAGGGACGGAGGAGGGAGGAGGGAGGAGGGAGAAGAGGAGGGGGTGGAGGAAGGAAGAGGGAGGAAAAGGAGGGAGGGGGGAGGAGGGAGGAGGAGGAGGAGGAAGAGGAGGAGGAGGAGGAAGAAGAGAAGGAGGAGGATGACTGCTGGCGCCGGGTCTGTGGGCGGAGACGGACAGCGGGTGGGGCGGGCCAAACCTGCCCCCCGCCCATGCACGGACGAACGGAACAACAAACACAACAGAAGAAAAACAAAGCGCCAGGCACTCGCGGGGCCCTCCCATGAGCGGCCATCAGGCGGCGCAGCTCCGGGGGGGGAGGCCATCTTCGGCGTCCCCCCTGCAACAAGCGGGCCTTGACAGGCCGCCTCCCGATTTCTGTGCGCCCGAGCGCGCACACCGGCCAGAGCAGCGGCACCGGCAGCGGCAGCGGCAGGAACTGCAAGAGCAGCAATGGAAGCAGCGGGCGGTGGAAAAACGGAAGCGGGATGAGGAGCAGCTGGAGCAGCAGGGCGGGGGGAGGAGTGCGAGGAGCAGGACTTCTGGGCCTCTCTACGTCTCCATGCATCTCTCCCTCTTCCCGTGTGCCCCACGGCTGCTGCTGCTGCGCGTTGCACGTTCTGGCTTGTTCGAGCACGAACGCTGCAGCCAATGGGTAGAGTCGCCCCCCCCCCCGGCCACCGTCGCCCCGAGAGGTGCCCGACATCTCGGGCCACGCGCCGCCACCCGCGGCGCCCGCGGCGCGAGGGCGCCCTCACCCGCGCTTGTCGGACTCGCCCTGGATGGGCCGGAGCGTCTCCTCGGGGGAGGGCACGGAATACAGGCGGGGCGTTGACCTGAGGAGCCCTAAATAAGGAACGAGGCCCCTTTTTTCCATAAGTGAACCTTCGATTTCTGGTCGAAAACATAAGGAAAACCTGAGGCAAGCTGTGAAACAATCAAGGAACGCGGAGCCCCTCCCCAACGAAAAGGGTTCCTTCTTCAGGGCCCCGACTGTAAGAAGAAACGCGCCGTGTGTCCAGGCACGCCGGCAGCTCGGGGGCGGCAGCAAGGGGGGGGTCCTCTCGCAGCCAGTGGCCCACCTGCATACACTTCTACGCAGGGGCGCCGCAACACAGAAGTGAGCGAACCAGTGCGGCAATCCCGCGCTGGCCGCGACGCCGCAATCGCACAAAATTTGGCCACCAGATCAGCGGCGAGCACGTAAACGAAAGCATGCGCTGCGCTTGTCGGAGGGTGGGAACTCGGGCGGAGGGAAACAAAGAAGCCTGCGAAATCTAGGGGGCTAACTGGATATCTACTCACATCACCACGGCAGACTCAGCTAACGGGGAGCCCCTGTCCTTTCAGCCCTTTCCCCGAGCGTGCGGGGGGCCTTGCAAATATGCCCCTTCAGAAGGCGCTGCCTTCACCGAGGGTCGGAAGCTACCCGAATGAAGCGGTGCTCAGCGTCCTCCCACCTCGTCTCCCCCTCCTCCATTCAGCCGTCATCGAGGGCCAGACAACCAAAAACTAATCCGCCGGCCCCCTTGTGGGGCCACCAGGCTGTAGGACCGTGATTCGCAGTTTCCTGTACCAGTCGTAGGTTGTAGTTTCCAGTGTTGCAGTTCTGCTTCTTGCTGGTTACTGTAACTAGTTGATTGACCGCGCGAGGGGAGGGGAGGCCCAAACAAGATTTTTAGCGTCTCCTGGGCGCGTTGTCTGAATTGCTGGGGGGGCTCGAAATCGACACCCCTCACGCAGATCCGCGGGGTCAGGGTCCAAAAACACAGGGGATTTGCCACATTTCTGAAATTCGGTGCCACCCCTCACGCAGATCCGCGGGGTCAGGGTCCAAAAACACAAGGGATTTGCCACATTTCTGAAATTCGGTGCCACCCCTCACGCAGATCCGCGGGGTCAGGGTCCAAAAACACAAGGGATTTGCCACATTTCTGAAATTCGGTGCCACCCCTCACGCAGATCCGCGGGGTCAGGGTCCAAAAACACAATGGATTTGCTACATTTCTGAAATTCGGTGCCACCCCTCACGCAGATCCGCGGGGTCAGGGTCCAAAAACACAAGGGATTTGCCACATTTCTGAAATTCGGTGCCACCCCTCACGCAGATCCGCGGGGTCAGGGTCCAAAAAAACACAGGGGATTTGCCACATTTCTGAAATTCGGTGCCACCCCTCACGCAGATCCGCGGGGTCAGGGTCCAAAAACACAGGGGATTTGCCACATTTCTGAAATTCGGTGCCACCCTTCACGCACATCCATCGCAAGGCGTGGTAACCCAAACTGCGAGAACTCCCTCGGCCCTTTAATCGCAAGGTGTGGTAACCAAGCCCGTAAACCATACACGTCTTACCAATCGCCAGGTGTGGTAACCCCTCTTGTGATCAGTTGGTTTTGCTGATTGCGAATCGGCTTCGCATGAAGTTTCGATACTGCTTCACGACAGCGCCAAGGCCTCATGACTTAGCTCTTCCATGGCCCATTCTCCGAGAGAGGGGGCCGGCGGCAGGGGGCGAAGCCCTTACGGATAACCAATTCCTTCACAAGCCCAGTGCGGGGCCAATGCATAGATGCCCCTTCGGGAGTGTCTTAATCTAACCCAGGGTCAGTGGGTGTACTCGAGTGAAGCGGTGTCCTCACCGTCGTCGTCCTCGTCCTCCTCCTCCTCATCCTACTCCTCTCCTTTTCCTCCCCCTCGCTTCTCGGCCCCCACCGAAAGTCTGTGTAGACGGGGCCTGTTTACGAACTGGTTCCGAGCGAACCAGACTGGCAGTGCAATCGAAGCCGTCCTCCTCCTCCTCCTCCTCCTCCTCCTTCTCGGGTGATGTGAGCCATAGGTTTATTCTGGTGATCGAAATTCATTATGGTAATCAAGGCTAAAGTAGGTTGGAACATCATAACCATAGGTAGGAGGATGTATTCTCTGTGCGGATGGCGGTGGGTGAAGTGACGTGGGCGGCGAGCAAGAACATGTAGCCTCGACCATTCTCAACGCACGGCCGTGATATGTCTCCTGGTTATAATGCATCTGGTCCCAAAGAAAGTCACAGCTTGGAAGTGCCGGGGGTGACACAAGAAAGACGAAGAGCCCAGATCCACAGCGCTCAGGTGGGCGTGGCGAGTGGAAGCCAGGATCGAAGAGAGGGGAACGAGTAAGCCCATGGCGAACAAGCATTACCAAGAAGAGAAAGCCAGAGAAGCGAAAGGCGAGCGCCCGCAGAGAGATAGATATAGGTCAGGACGAGGGGTCGACACGACAAGCAGTAGACAAGTATGACAAAATGATGTGATGGACCCTTTGCAAACAGAGTTGACCAACTTGTCCAGGTCGGTGCGTGTTCGTTCTGCGAAAACTGCTCATATCGAACATTTATGTGGACGAACATACGTTGCTGGTTTGGGCGATGCGCTCTCGAAGCCCTGCGGGCTCCCGATACTGACGAACAAGCATGATTACAATGCGAACGTATTCGTTCGTTGTGCGCACATTTGCCAGCAAAGCCACCGCAAGCGAAGCAGAAGCTGAGCCTTGCAGGCATTGGCAATACAAACGTGTAAGCTGCTCACCGAGCGATGGAAGATTCGCCAGTTGTTGGCCTCACTGGAAACTCAACATATGAAGCATTGGGGACTGAACATGTTTAAATCAGGCATGTTTTCGCCTGGAGTGTAACCGTAAGATGATAATCCAGGTTGGCCCCGTCATCGTTCGCAAAATGCTGCGTGGCTGCCTCGCACAATGTGAACCATTCAGAACTGACGATGCCAGAGTCACTGCGAGTTTTCTGCATCCGAAGATACAACATTTGATGCGAACTCCGCTTTGATCATTGGTGGAGCGATCACTAGAGAATCCACAAGTATGCTGCAGATGAATGTTCCCGTCCACTGTGGAGGGGACGGCGCGGCAGGCGTTGGCAACGGTGGCGTGATCCAAAGTGGTGGTGGCGGCACAATATTCAGAGGCGGCAAACTGGGTGCAGAGTGAGGAAGTTGTAGACGCGTCAAGATAATAGGCAACATGTGACGAATGCTGGAGCTTCAAAAGCACAAATACCGCCGCATTTCTTTTGTTCTGCGAAGTCGTACTATGCGTCCGGTCCTGTCGACTGTAGCTTTCTTCGTCGCCAGTCCATTGCTGATGGTCACGATGTCTGCAAAAAACCATGCGACTACTATGAGGTCGCGCCACCTATCCTAATATATTAAATGTGTGTCATCAGCTGCCGAGGCCCGCTGAGAAAGAACACTGAGAGACTGACACGCCATGAGGCACGGTATGTCTCGCGCGGCTGCGCGGAATCGTATATCGTTGACGGCGGGTGCGCACCTGAGCGCGCCGCGCGTAGCCGCCGCCCAGGATCGTGGTACCCAATATGCCTAAGGCCTTCAGCAGGCGGCATCCTTCCCCTCCTCCTCCTGCTCACCACCACAACCACCACAACCACCACCATCATCATCATCATCATCATCAGCAGCAGCAGCAGCAGCATCATCAGCATCGTCATCATCAGCTCGAGCATCATTATCATCATTATCATCATCATCATCATCATCATCATCAGCAGCAACATCATCACCATCACCATCACCATCACCATAATCATCATCAGCAGCATAAGCAGCAGCGTCATCGTCATCATCAGCATCATCATCAGCATCCTCATCCTCATCGTAATCATCATCACCATCATCAGCATCATCATCATCGCCGTCATCGTCATCGTCATCGTCGTCGTCAACATCATCGGCATCGTGATCATCGTCATCGTCATCATCATCATCATAATCATCATCAGCAGCATCAGCATCAACATCATCATCATAACCATCATCATCAACCGCATCATGATCGTCGTCATCATCATCATCATCATCATCAGCATCATCCTTATCCTTATCCTCATCCTCAGCATCAGCATCAGCCTGAGCCTCAGCTTCATCCTCATCCTCATCATCATCCATCCATCCATCTATCCATATCTGCATCATCCTATCATCGCCCTCCCTGCCACCTCCCGCCCCCTCCTCATCCATCCCTCCTCCCCTGGCGTACCCGCTCCTTCCAGACGCCCTTGTTGCTGATGCGCTGGCGCAAAGTCTGGGACTTGGGGCCGTCCTTCGGGGCGACCTCCAAGACGGCGCCTCCGCAGTGAGGCAACCAGAGGGCGAAACGCTCCGGCCCCCGCGCTCCGCCCCCCCCCCCCCCGGAATCGAGAAGCTATCCGTCGCAGTGCTCTTCGGCACGGAGTGGGAGTGTCCTCAGGTCCCTTGCTCCACCCCTCGATCCTCAATCCGAATGGTTCTCTAAGGGTTCGGCTCCAGAAATTTTCTGGATCTTAACGCGTCCACTTCTGCGGAGCGGCACTCCGCTACTTGGCCTCAGACCAAGGAAGTCCCAGTGACTTCGCTCCCACTGTCGGAGCGCGCTCCGCCTATGGCTGAGACTCCTCAATCCTCCTCCTCCTCCTCCTCCTCCTCCTCCTCCTCCTCCTGCTCCTGCTCCTCCCCCTCCTTCTTCTCCTCAAAGGCTCCGCATGTTTCCTGAAGGAGTACATGCAAAACCCTCCAGGGCACTAGCTGGTCGCTGTCAACCAGATAGGGACCCTAGACACCAATGAGATCGCCAAGTCAGTCTTCATCTGCGTCAGGTGCGGAGCCTGAGCGCAGCAACGCCGACGGTTGAAGTTACGCCTACCATGCACGGCAGCCGCCACAAAGGGCCTGGAGGTTCTGATCAACCATAAGAAAGGCATGGGACCCAACAAGAAACTCGGGCGTTTCATCGACGCCACCACTCCCGTCGGCAAGATGCGCACGAGTGCAGTTGCCAGCATGATGTATACCAAGGTCGACATCATCGAGAGCAGCAACTCCGAGATGGAGAGCTCCAGCATCTATGAGCAAAAGATGGCAGCACTATATCAACGTGTTCGGGAGAAGGAGATGCGACTCGATGAAGCCAAGGAGGAGCAGAACACCATGTTAGGACATGTGATGCGTGGCGGCCTGATTCACCTGACCACGGAGCCGCATGGCGACCAGATGCGCCACCACGACAACATCGCAGAGAGCCTCCCCCACGGCGACGTCATCATGACCGACGCGGTTGATGCTGTGGCCACGGAGGAGATGGGTCACCAGATCATCGTCTCAAACAGCTACTCCGTCGTCGGGGAGCTGCTGCCGGCAGAGGAGGGTGGGCTGGCGGATGCTGCCCTTCATGATGCCCCCTCCCCAGAGGGCACGCCTTCCTCTGCCACGGGATACGCTCCCTCTGGCAGAGGGGCTCCAACAGGAACGCCCACCTCGGCAGGGCGCGCCTCCGGCCGTGTGGGCAGGAGGGCGCGGGGGGGCGCAGGAGATTCAGCCTCCTCTCCCTCCACCGCGGGTGCAGCGCGAAGCAGATGCGCGACGCGGAGAGCTGGCGCACCTTCAATAACATGCTGGCGTGCACACTTCCCCACAGCTTGGAATCGGCGGAGAGGGAGGTCCAGTTGGCGTGAAGCGAAGGCCAAGCCGCCTCAGGCCTTCTCCCAACGAGGAGAGTGGCTCGCCCAGGGTCGGAACCCGCAACGAGGTGGATGCTGGGTACCTGCGCCCCCCAGTGGATGCTCAAGCTGAACGAGGAGAACAGCAGCACGGAGGAGCACGGCCAGATGGAGTACCCGCAGCTCCACCTGGAGCTGGGCACGGAGCTGGACGCCGAGATGTTCGAGGGGGCGAACGCGGGCGCTCCAGGCCGCAAGCTGAGGCGATGAGCTTCAAGCAGCTCGTTGCCTTGGCGGCGGGAAGTTCGAGGAGAAGCTCGAGCTCGTGAGGCCCTGCGGCAAGGTCGTGCCCCTGCCCTGAGGAGGGGGCTGGGCTGGCGCCCGACCCTCGACCTCTGAAGACCGCGAACTGGAACTCCTCCTCCTCCTCTTCTTCCTCCTCTTCTTCCTCCTCCTCCTCCTCCTCCTCCTCCTCCTCCTCCTCCTCCTCCTCCTCCTGTCCGTCCTCCTCCTCCTACCCGTCCTCCTCCTCCTCCTCCTCCTCCTCCACCTCCTCCACCTCCTCCTCCTATCCTCCTCCTCCTCCTCCTCCTCCTCCTCCTCCTCCTCTTCCTCCTCCTCCTCCTCCTCCTCTCCTTTCGTTCGAAATCCATCTAGTGGTATCATTGGGGGTACCACTTGAGGCAGATTGCTTCTGGCCTACAACCCAGGTCTCAATGATAGGATCGATCTGAGTCAATGGATACCATTTCGGTACCACCTGAAACCTCGGACCCAGAACCCAGGCCACGAAACCCCGAGCAGCATCTGGGAGTCCTCTGACCCAGAACACAGGCGCGGTGGCGGGGTGGGCCGAAGGCCATGGGATACAGATCCACCTCGTTTGTCCTAATCCTCTTTCCTGGGAGAGGGGAAAGGGAGGAACGAGGTAGATCTGTATGGTTGCCATCCTCCCACCCTGCTGTTCTTCACATCGGTGGGATCACTATGAAGTCAGATTGAGCTTCAGGAGCCCACGGATGGCCCCATCATGCAAAGGGGCACCAAAATCCATGCGAGATGAGGCGCGGCATCCGAGGCATCAGTACGGACAGGAGAGGAGTTCTCATGGGGAAGTGGGAGACAATGTCCAGGAGTTGTTTTGCAAGGCGGGCCTTCTATGTCGTCCTCGCACAGGTTCCCAGACACCACGACGGGCGTAGCATCTCTATCAGCTTCTTCAGGATTTGTTTTGCAGGGTGGGGCCAACGATGACCGCCCAAACTCTGCCAGAAACAGCAACGA